CCCGGGGCCCCGCCGCACGGGAGCGCCCTCTGGCGCCGCCGCGAGGCGCGGGAAGGGCCGCGCAGGGAACATGGCGGCCTCGGCGCGGAGCCTCCTGCGCGCCAGGGCCCGCGCTTGGCTCTTCCCCACCAAACACATATACACGGGTGTCATCCCGGAGAGAAAGGCCCTTCAGCGCCCCGTGGCGAAGAACGAGGGCACCTTCTGGAGCAGGAGCCGAAGGTAAATTTGCACAACTAGTTGCCAAAGCACAGAGCGAGCGGGGCCAGCCCAGGGGAGCAGGCCAGGAGAAAGTGCCTCAGAGCCTTCCTGGAACAAGAGATGGAAACTACTTTGGGTTTGTCGGCTTCTTCCCTGCTCCACGCTGCTCTCGCGAAAGTCCCGATGTCACGTCCACAGGCGCCATGGCTCTAGGTCCCAGAGCAGCGTGTGTCATACACCCCCTGAATGCACTAATCCTCAGAAGCTCACTGAAACTGGGTTTCTTTCTTTTGTTACAAAGACCAAGATGTTGTACGAAGCAAAACAGCCAACCACAAAAGGACTCTCAAAAAGCCTCCCACTCACTCTGGGTTTATTCTACAGTTGAGCACAATTATGTTTAGCATCTCCAGACCACAGAGGCACCTGTTCAAACAGACGCTAGATTTTCTGATTCTTAAACAAACAAAAAATATTCATAACAATCAATTACATGTGGTAATAAGCACTTCCTTTGAAATCAGCAGGTTTCACCATGCACTTTTTGGAGTCCTGTTTTGAAAAACTATTAAGACACTCATCAGAGAATTTATTTCTATACTGGATTCACGCCCGGCACATCATGTACAAGGGTATTCACCTCATAAAAATACACTAAAAGTTATCCTAAAGATAATGAATTTGTATCACGTTGCAGGATTTTATAAAGAAAATAGGAACACAAAGGTTAATTTGCTGTAAAATACAATTCACTTGGACTATAAACACTTCACACCTTGTCTCAGTACTTGCACTTCTTGGTTTTTATTCTTAGGATGACAGTGTATTACTCACCTTGTGCTGCTCAGTTATGAAGAATAATTAACTGGGTTTAAGTACACAGCTCATTTATTCAAAAAATAACTTGTGGTTATACTGTCAGAAGTGCTTTCACAAACACTGCAATAAATAGCACCTTTTTGAAACCACTCTGCTCTTGCTTAACAACTCCCTCTTGTAAGGCTATCAGCTGCTTTTTACTTGTTTTAACACCTTTTTTTTTAGAGCCTCTTTGCATGCCAAAACAAATTTTATTTCCTTCTGGCTCGAGCCTCATCAGATTTAACTCTGTTTGAACATTGTGCTAGTTCCATCAATTAAAAATAGAAGTTGAATGGAAATAACACTGTCAAAATGTAGCAGAAAACAATGTCATCCTGGAAAGCTAATGATGGTGGGGGTAGGGGAAGGCTTCACCCAAATTTGTTATGTGAGGCTGGAGGATTTCAGGTGGCGTGTGACCCTTCCTTACTTATCTGAGGAAACAGCATGAGCATGTAAAAACAACATGCCATTTCCATAACTATCAGCGGAAAAGCTTTCTTCATAACTCAACTTTCTTATTAACAAATTAACCAAAAAGTTGCTTAATAAAGATATCATTGCATTAGAACAAAATTGAAGTCTCAATCTTGCCTTCCTGTATTCTCTGCACCTCAAAAGAAAAAAAATAAATAATTAAGTGCTTCAGACATTAAGCAAGCAGGGTATTCTCACATGATTAATAGGGATTCTTTCTGACTGAACATAATGATGTTTGCTATCTATTTTCTCCCTGGCAGTCACTGATATGGAAACATGTAGCCATATCTATAAGTGTTTGTTTAGTTGTATTGCAAGTGAAAGTTTAACCCGAAGGAGTTTTAACTTATATATATTTAAAGGGCCTGAGTTGCAGGAAAAAAAACACATTTTTCAAATGTGGCTCTGTGCAAACAGTTGGTCTGCAAGCCGGAGAACGCTATTTACCAGAGACTTGGCCCAAGTGAGACTGAAAAACATCACCCTGTAATTACATTTGACTCAATTTTAACATTTCAGCTGTTCATGTATTTGGAAACATTCCAAATGTTATAATTTTCCCATTACAAGCACTAGATACAAAAGAGAAAGTTTTTATTTTAAATATAGTCAGTTTTAAAAACAAACAGTAACTTCAACATAATCAAACACAAAGCACTTTCACACAAAGCAAGTTATATCCTGCATTTGTTTGTCTAAAATAAGTTTAACAAAGCAAGTTACTTTGGCACATTCTGTAGACAATTCCATACACAAGAGAACAAACACAGGCTTTGTATTTAAGGAAATTTAAGTACAGAAAGAGCAGCAGAAAGTTTTGAAAAATGCTTAATTAGATGGAATAGCTGCCAACATTATGTGTCCTATTCTCAATCTATACGAGGAATTTAAAGAGATGCAATGGACTGTGCCCATAAAACAAAATAAAGAAAATCCCACATAATTTTTCTTTTTTTTTTGGTCAATGTTCTGCATTCTGGTGCCACCACTTCAGATTTTCCAACCATCATTTGGTAGAGAAAAGGGGAGGTAAGGGACTAACAATTTAAAGATGTACTCACCAAATGAATCTACGACACGACTATCCAGACCAGACTGACACGGGTACTAACTAAAAGAACTAAAAATCCTCTCCACCACACAAGCAAACATCAAGTTTGGAAACACTGCATGCTTCATTGCTCCTTCCTGTCTTGCTCTGGTGATAAACTGACAAGAAGGAAATTTTCTGTGAAATCCAGGGATCAGGAAACGCACGTGACTTGCGTAAGCTAGAATCGGTGCCTGTGTCATCAGAACAGAAAACTCAATGGATTATCACCCAGGCCCTTAAAGAACATGGAAAGCATTAGGGCGGTGCGGCAGCAGACAAAACCCATAAGCTAGTACCACATCATCAAAGTGGAAAGCTACAAAACTACCAGCTTTTTATCTCCATCATTCTCTTGACAGTTAGTAGCTACTGATGTAAATTCTTATGGTACAGGGAGACATATGATCAGAAGCCTCTTCCAAATGCACCGGGAAGCTCTTAAACCACTTGCAGACTGACTGACAAGCAGCAGCACTTTACAAAAACTAATTAACACAAGGCCTACAGGTTGTATTTGTGATCCATAAAACTCCTTGATTTCAAACATGAAGTGCTGAAAGGCTTGAAAAGTTAACTTATACCAAATACTTATAGAAGGCACATTTGGCAACAACAGTAAATGCAGTGGGGTTTTTTTTATTATTTGTATTTATTTGAGCTTTTTACTTTTACAGAGATTAATACAGTGTTAACATCATAGCCTTGTTTTAATGCTTGCCTTTTCTAGACAAGTATCATTCAAATGCATCAAGCTGTTATTTGGGCCAAGGCTGCTGTTCATGACATGGTAAAATACTTCAGATTTCAGAGCCTCATTCCCTCATTTTTTTGTGATCATCATCTTCAATAAGCATATGTAGCTTAAGTTTCTGAAAATGGAACTTCTCTTTCATTTAGAAAAAACAGAGTACAAGTCTAAATAATCATGAGAGAAACTTCTTAACACATTACGTTCTTAATGAAGGAACAGCAATTAACAAACAGATCAAGAATTAAAAGCTCAGGTGCTCTATCTGTGTTTTGCAGGTGGAATTCAAGCCTTAAGATAAGGCTGAGGTTTATGATTTATCAGTTGATTTACGTAAACGTACAAGGAAGTTTTCCAATGCTCTATGGCGTTTCCTCTATGGTGAAGAGAGCACTTCACAGGCTTATAAATCAGCAGTAAAAAAACCCAACCAAACAAAAAACACTGAACAAGTATCTGTTAAAAATTCCTGTACGAACATCTTTACTGCAGAGACATGACTGGACTTGAAACTGGCAAGGAAATTCAGATACTAGATTGAATCACCATTGATGCACAATAACCCGAGTTGTCCATTTGGTAAAGCAGCCTCCAAGAAGGAAGAAGCCTTTAGGTTTCATAAGAAAGTTTTAAAGTGAGTTTTAGTGCTCATGAAAAGATGCCAACAAATCACTTATTTGTCAGAGGGGCACTTGTCTCGGAGGCAAGCAACTCCCTGCCAGTTTGTGAACAGTGCTGTTGCAAAAGCATCAACACCAGGCATGAGACTATATAGGTCTCCATAGACATTCTCCTCCTGGTCTGTGCTGAGCCTGTAAGCAAGCACACCAGAGTGCAACATGATTCAGACAAGATTAACTGAAGAACATCACCACCATGCTTTGCATAAAGCAGAAAGGGAAAACATTTAGTTGTATTAACTGGTGCTGGACTGAACGGCCCATAAAAATCAGGTACACTTTTTACAGACCTAAGTCAGATTCACCTCAAGCAAAGTCTTAGTCAAACAATCTAGCTATAAAATAAACTTTTGATTGGTTTCCAGTGACAGGATGCACAGAAACAACCAGAAGTCTCCATGAAGCTTCAGGAAGGGCTTGTAGAGGTGCTAACCAACTTCATCAGTTATCAGTGTGTAAACACTGCCTATAAACGTTTGTAAGAACCAATAAGAGTACTGCAGTTCGGACAGGTGTGATCCACATCCTTTAGGGCATCAATGCAGAAGGGAATTAAGCAGCAGCCAGCTACACACCTGCAAAGGAAAAAAATAAATCTGTTTTATCACTTGTTACATACACAAGAAAGTAAAATATATTTCCTGCAAAAGCCATCAGTAAAACTGATGCCATGAAGCTTTAGGAACAACACACATGGCTATGGGGTCCATCACTTCAGTGTTCCACAGCTGCTTTAAGGTCCTGTAGGACTTAAACGCAGATGCAGGCTATTCAAACCACAAAGGGTCAGGTCCCACACACAATGAGAAAGCACAAACCTGAGAGCTCCTCAGAGGTATAAAAGGTCATGTAAGAAGAGAAAATAAAGTGCAAATTGATATCAACCTACCCCAGCAGGCAAAGGCCACCACATGACAGCCAAGTCAAAGCTCCTGAGTCATACGAGAGACGTGTCACTATCATCTGGTTACAGGAAGGGCAGCACATCTGAACTGGGCGGTCATAAAATACTACTGGTTGTTGCACATACACTGTCTGAACTGTAACTGAGTGGAGAAATACACCATTTACTCAATGGGTAAATAAGAAAAAAAGGATAGTTAGTCAACTTCCTCTGAGGTAGAACCAGCTATTACTCTGAAATATTTGAACCTCAGAGCAATGACATGTACAATGACAAAGAGAAATCACCATGGCATTTCGTAATGCAGAAATACACTGTCTTAAGAATAAGGCTGCATTAAAAACTGCAGAAAGCCAAATGGTGTTCTTGACAATAGCGCACACTGAAGGATTCACAAGAATTGATTAAACTTATTCCCTTCAAAAATATTTTTTGGAAGGTGGAGAACACCTGTGATCCATGACCTTTCATCTTCCGGACAGAACCTGTTACACAGCCACTTGACACCTCCTTAACATGAAGTACAGAGGAGTTTTCTGAGGCTTACCGGGGTTATTCACTGGTGTGGGCTGCCCCACGTATGGGGGAGGGTTCATTCCCTTCCCATCCTGTTTCTGGCCAGGTTCTGGAACAGGGTAGGGGTGAGGGTAGCTCACATTTATTCCTACTGTTTCTTCGTAAGAAGGTGGTGCAGATGGTATAGGGGCACCACTGGGAGCAGACATTGTATCTAAAACAGAGAGAAAATTATAACAAAATACATTATTTATTGAGGGCAAATAACAACTAATTAGGGTCTGTTCAGACAGAAAGCAAGAAGATAACTAGATTAAAATGCACCTTTAGCAGTATAAAATTTACTGACTGATATTTGTTTCTGGTAGTATTAATTGTTAATCTTAATTTCATTGCTGTAGTTGTTTCCTTCCCTCTTCCTTTTCACAATTTCACATGACCAGTTCTTCCTTTATAAATTAAAAATGCTAAAACAGGGACATGGGGCATCTTTATTAGTATACTAAGCTATCTGACAGTTTCTGACAGTTCTCCAAGAACAGTACTTCAGACCCCTCTTGTTCTCCTGAAAAACCAAACAGTGTAAGTCACATGGTAGCTGCTAACTAACATGAGCCTGGTTTATTTTTTATAAATTTATAAGCTCAAATATTTAAAAAAATACTATTTATCTCTAATTTGATTTCAGACTTTAAAATATATATATATTGAAAGAAAAAAGAACCCCCAAACAGTTAAGTACATCCAACTCAGTGCTTTTACAACTCTCAAATATTGCCATTTTTGCTGCTTACCAAAGTTCCAATGAGTTTGTTAATGTGACTTTCCTCCACCAACTGTTATTTCATTACAGATTACAAGAACATTAACCATTGCCTTTTCCCAAAGAGGAAAGAAATTATTGTGATTTCAACACAGACTTCCTTTCTATCTTCCTGCCTACCCAATTCCTATACTCTGCCCACCCATTTGTGAACAATCTCTCATGACATCAATGCTGATTAAGTATCTCCCTTTTTCTCTTCCTCATAAGGACCATCAGACAGTTCTCTGAGAGCCACACACCATTCTTTGTTGCCACATTCAATCCCTCTACATACATGCAAGTCTTCTCAGTCAGTTCTATCTAGTAGGAAGGGCAATCCATACTTGGCATATTAATTCTATACTCTTATAGTAATGCAGAAGCTATAACTAACCATAGCCCTAGTAAGAATAAAACAAGTAAGAGAAATTGCACTGATGAGGGAGCAAAAAAAGACAAAAAATATGTTAAGAAATAAAAATACCCACAACAACATAGCATTACTTCCAAAGCTTGTTGCATTGTAAACATTGTAAACATCAGCTTGCTGGATATATGCAGTGGTGCAAGACACCAGGCATTCTAAGCTCAACTGTTCTCCCCACTGTTCATATCACATCTTGGGACATCACTGCATTGCATGGTAGTAAAAGGACCTAAACATACACAAATTAGCTAACTCTGTAGTCACATAACTCAGAAAACTATCTACAAGGTTCACAGTCCAACTTTCTTTTCCTACCATATACAAAAATGACACCTCCTCCCAAAACTAAACTGAACAGGAATGTGGCTAAGTGCAGACACAAGCTGATTCAAAGCTGGATCAAAGTTCAGACCTGGTTAAACTCTCAAGGCCAACCAGTGAACAATCCTTTCCTCAGAAGCTACTCTGGGGATTTTTACAATCCAGGCAGTATACCGTAACTTGGCTTCCCAATATGCAGAGTGACTACACAGGACAAAAAGAGAAGTGTGAAGAATCAAAGAGAGTAACACTGCCCATAGAGACCTTGCTGGCTTTCTGGCTCAGAAGACAAGAGCAGGGGGAAAAAAATAATTATCAGCATAAAACCTGTCTACTCTTTAAATTGTTAAACTGACTTTGGGGAATTTAGTTCCTAAGAAAATGGAAGATCACAATTTCTTTTACACTGCAATCAATACATAGTCACAGCAGGCAGTGGAGGAACAAAAGTCAGTGGAGAACCAACCTAGAACTATTGTGCAATGACTTAGTACGCAACAGTTTCCCACAGTGGCCTGAATAATCCTTTTAAGATAGAATGATTACTTTATCAGAGGATTTATTACTCTAAAGTAGAGAACTGTTGTGAAACTACGCATCTACAACCACCTTCTCCCAGATTACGTCGTTCCATTCCTTTTACGTGTGCAGCTGAAGTCCAGGATATGTTTGCTGTTTTCAGCATATTGAAATGTTTAAAAGCACCACTGGAACAAACAATTGCATCAACAAGATTTATCCCAGGAAATAATGTAGCTATTTTGTGCACAGATCTGGAACTTTTCCAGTGTGCATTCTGAAGAAAGGTCTTCTCATCACCATTTCAAGACATCCATGTAACAGCCATCCCAGGATCAAAGCAGCCTGGACCGTGGAGTCCTACTATTAGTGAGCTATGGGAGAACTGCCCAATGAAGCCCCTTTTTCCTCTGGTCTCCTAAAATCTGGCTTTTAGTACTGTTTAAAATGCACCCTTTCCACCTATCACCCAATAAATATATCACATTCCTTATTCAGCAGAGCTGATCACTTCAGCAGCTAGACTGCAGAGAAGGATCCAGCAGATCTACTAGACCAGAAGCTGAATAAAAGTTGTCAGTATCATGAAAATGGCAAACACCATGCAGGGATACGTAAGCAAAACCAGTATCTGTACAACAGCTGAAAAAGTTCTGCTGCTCTGGGAAAGCCCCCATGGGAGTACAGTATCTAAGAAACAAGTGAACAGATTCCAAAGAAAAGCACCAAGAACAGTCATAAAGGCTAGAAAAGAGGACTTCTGAGAAAAAGCCAAAGAAACTGAGTTTTCTTAGTTACAAAAGACCAGAGAGAATAATGAAGACAGGCAGAAGAGGAACTAAAACTTCTCTGTGAGTAAACTTTAGGAAATTTAAACTTTTACTCTGAGAGTAAACTTTAAGAAAAACTGTCAGAAGAACTTTTAAATCATAAGCTTTTCCCTATGTCTATTCATAAGGCTATCTAAGCACTAGATAAATTGGCAAGAGTTGTGGAGCCTTCCCTCCCAGAAGTTTTAAGAACAATTACACATCAGAAATTGTATGTCATTCAGCATTAAGTGGATTAGACAACCTCTTCACATTCCTTCCAACTGTATTTTCCATTATTTCAACACTTGCTTTTGAAAATAAATGCCACACCTTTTAAACACCCACTTTTATGTACACTTTCAGAGTGAGACACATCTTCTGAAGAAAGTAAGACCCAATCCTGAACAAATTGCTTGCAAGCCAACCCCCTGCCCCTAGAGCTCATTGAAAGACTGGGTCTAGAACTACCTAAAAAACAGCAGCTTCTACTTTAAAAAACAACAAAAACAAAAAAAACCCAAACCCCCAAAACCACCCCCCAAAAACCAAAACACAACTCCAACCAACAAAAAAAACAAACCAACCATGATTATAGTTTCTGAGTATCAAACTTATTCAAGCTTCAGGTAAGACAGTAACTGCACTGAATTGATATGGCAATAAGTATTAACCCAAGGATTAAACGGTAATAAAAACAAAGGTGAGAGGGACATTCGAAAAAGGATTTTCAACATTTTATTTTAGCCTAGGCAAGACTTACAGCCTGGGTTAGTAAGTAAACTTCAGGTTATAATTTCCTATGCGATCTCTTAAGGCACTAATAGACTTCCCATAGTTTCCATTTGCACTTTGTTCCCTACAGAGCAGCTTATAACTTTCATATGTTTCACAGATACTTTCTTATATAAAATACCACTGATATAGACACATCTGGAAGAGCAACTAATACATAATGCCTGGTTACGAGGACAAAAAATTAATATTACAAACTAACCCCAGATCATGTAAGAAATGATACAGAATCTTAAGCATCCATACAGGATAGGGAAGACTTGAATTTCTAACACCTTAACCAAGTGTACCCAGGTACTTACCGAACAGCAGCAATTTGCTACTGCAAGCCAACGGCAGAATCAGAAACTGAACCAACAAGCTTCGTCTTCTCAAAGCAGACTCTCAAATGTTGCTCCCAAATAATTCCAAAAGGGAAGACTGTTCGGTGACAGGCACCCGACTGCAATAAAAGGCAAAGGATAAGACAAGTAACAGAGATGCCAAATACACCTAAAAGTTGTCTGCAGGTAGCATATATGCAAACCATTAGGCAACATTAAAGCAATCTCAAAGCAGGATATGCAAACACTGAAAGACCAACAAGCACACTAAATGCAAGAGTGGGCCTTTTACACTGACACACAAGAAGTTTCCGTTTACATCTGGAAGTTTCAGATCCAAACACCATTAAGCACAGAGAAGAACTGAGCAATTCGAGCTTCTCTTCCCAGACTCTCACTACTCTTTTGCTTCGAGTCTTTAGAAATGCATGTGGTAAGACAAAGACCAATGGTTTCAGCTACCCATCCCACATCATTCTTCTGCTCTTCAGAAAACACTCTCTCACATTCCAGGTGCACAATGGTAAGGTGGACATTGACTCACTGGGCCCAGCTGCACTCTAACTTTGGGCAGATGAGTCACTAGACTCCAGAGAACTAATATAGCAGCAAAAGCACCAGCCCCCTCCTCCAGATTTTTCTTTTTTGCTCATTTGCTCAAGAGAAAGAATCACAAGTACATAGAGCTGTGAGCACTCTTCTCAGCCCAAATAATTTCCTTCGTAAGCACACATTGGAATAACACTGGCATGGGACAAAGCACCCTTCCAGTTCATTCCTTTCTGCAGAGGCCTATTGCCCTACATACAGAAGAAAGTTAGCATAAAGGGAAGGAAAAGGCTGGTAAAAGCCACAGCATTCCCAAACCATTCTATTCTAATGAAATTAGATTAGTTACTTACACTAGCTGGAGAGGCCAGGAAGAAAGTAATACATTTTACCAACAGAAGGATGCATGGATACCCTTCTCTCCAATGGAGAGTGCGGCACAGCTCTGTCAATTTTACAACTGCACCAAAGCCACATGAATTTGGGTGAATGGAAGCCTTTTGAAAATGATGAAAACTTAGTAAAACTCAGTGGTGTGCAGAAGTTTTTGCAGGGTTTTGTATTCTGCAAAATCATATGTCAGCTAATTCAAACACTCCCTTCCTCATTTTAATTCCTAAACTCTAACTCCATGCAGCGATATGAAACCAGAAGCAGGGTCTGCATCTGCTCCCTACTCAGAGCTGCCATTTGTAACACAGCAAGAGAATTTGCAGGCTGTACCTGAAAAAAAAAAGCACAACACCTGGCTACACTTTCCTTTTATCTTGCTATTGGAAAAAGTGAATTAAGTGAATCAGAACTTCTAAGGTAACTTACCTGAAGAACTCATTACCCAAGCATTCATTATAAAGCCAGGATTCTTACAACCTTCTATCACTGGCTTCTGCATTTGTAGCTGAGTAAAATAATTCAAGATAAAACTCTGACTTGAAACTAGCAGTATGCTCAGAGGCAGCTACACATCGCAGAAGGATTCAGCAGGGTTATATCAGACAAGACAACATTCCAGTAGTGTTTATGTAATTAATTAAAATATAAGCTATGGCCTATACTTTTTTTTTTTTTTTTAAGATCTGCATAGGGTTCCTCAGTACACCCTCCCACAACATGGGTTTGTAAAAAGTTGGGCATTTTCTTCAGAATGCTAATTGAAATATCAAACTGTAAAACCTAGTGTAGATGAGGAATACTCTTACTCTGACCTTCTTCAAGATGCATAAAGGCATTACAGGGAAGGCAAGAACGAACGTACATTTATCGCAGTCCAGAAGTTACACAGGTCTTACTCAGTGTGCCCAAACCAACAGGTTGCCCTGTGATAACCTACACCTGCCAGATAATACACATTCACACATAAACTTACGCCATTGTCTGTGCCAGGAAGGAAAATGTATTCAAGATTCCCTTCCTCCCAAGGGGCAGATCTACTGTAAGGAAGTTAGTGTGTCATTATGTGTGTCATGCTCCGAAATATACAGACAGAGAGCTACAGGGCTACAGACATCTTCTCCTCTCCCTCACACTCCATTCATGATGCAGACCAGTCAGGGTCAGAGTCTGGCTCACGTGCCTTTCATGCATCTTCACCTAGAGATAATCACCGTAACTATAAATTGTCCTCTCCACACCCAAAACTGAACACATATTTACTACCATAAATAGGGGTGCATCCCTTGTCTTATGAAAATTTTTGATGTTGCCTGGATTGGTACGTTAATATTAAATAGTTTAAAACTGCGGCCTTTTTCTGAAGACAGGATGCAAATGCATATTCTAAGGATGCAGAAAAATACCTTTTACCCAGGGACAAATGGAAAAAAAATGGAAGGGGGAACAGGTCAAAAGTGGAAAGGTAAGTCAAGTCATGCATGCCGTACCCAACAATTACAGATTAATCATTAGGCAACAAATTTTTTTAATGCTAGATGGTTTCCTGACCCACACAAGAGGCTAATAGAAATGGATTCCACAGCAGCACACGGGTAACAGCAGCAGTAAGTAGATCATCTCTCTGCCCTTTATCAGGATGGGAGAAAAAAATATCTGCACAGTCTCCACACCATCACAGCATGCAAGGAGAAACTTACGCACAGAAGTGTTGCTCCTGGGAGGCTGGAGAAGATGGCAGAAACTGCAGAGTCATCCCTCTCTCCCTGTCCAGCCAAACCTGAGCTTGGCACCTGCTTTTAATGCAATAGCAAGTACTTCTCCTCTAAGAATAGAAGAGCAAATACACTTACTACCTTACAGAACAATTTTCCTTATCAGAAATCTTAGACACTCAGGTATGGACCAAAAATGCTCTGCCTGCTTTTAAATTGGCTCCCCTGAAGCTAAATAATTATATCTGTATTTGCTTGAAGTTGTTCCAAACCAAAGTTTAGTATAAAGAAAGTACAATTTTTAGTTTAAATCAGAGTATCTGTCCATCATAAGAAATTTTTATAGAAGATAAGTACAGTTAGCTCTATGAAAGCTTCAACTAAGAACATTTTCTTTGTTTGGTATGGATTTACAACTTTCCTGTTTTTATAAAAAGAAATCTGTATCCTTAAAACAGTGCAATAGCAAATGTCCTACATCAATCCAAGTATTTCTACAAAAGAAAGATCCAACTTGCCACTTTAGCTGCCTGCCACTATGGAGTGTTTTTAGCTGCATGAGTTCCTTAGTCTCACTGGCCACACAACTGCATAAACGCTAGTGTTACAAGGGGAGATGGCAACAACATTCATGCAAGAGAACGTAAGCAGCTCATGAAATCAGACCAAACATCTCAGACCATCTGTTTCTACTTTCATAGAGCATCATTCCAAAACTCAGAATTAATCCATACACACGCTCAGCAAGAGGAGGGACATTTCCGTTATATACATTGTTTGGGATGATTTTGAAGAGAAGTACATACATAGTTTATCTTCCACTGTAAGGAATGTTGCTGAACGTGAATTTATCTGAACACATTACATCAAATTGCTTTCTAGAGAATTTTTACTAAGAGGTACAACACACTAGCAAAGATGCCATGCAAGACAAGGCAAGGACAAGAAAATAAATAAGCCTGTATCTGGCTATCCGAGTGATGAACAAGGTGGCAATATCATCAAGAAAGCATACTTTTATAAGAGTGTAAGAAGTGATTATTTTCTTATATTTCTTAGCAGTTTTCATTTTGTCAAGGACTTTTATTAAAAGGTAAATATTTTGGATGAAAAGAAACGACATATATAAATTCGGTCATTCACATCTGGGTGCAAGACAGCAGATCTGAAGCAGGGGTATCATAACTTCTACCCGGGATGAAGGCACAGTGCTGGGCACCACCTGTTGGCAGCACTGCAGAGGAGCTGGCAGCAGAAATGGGGCTGGAGGAAGGCTGCCAAATAGCAGGGCGTGTAAGGGGCTGCAGCTGAGCAAGGGAGCAGACACCACGGAAAACAAAACCAGAAGACACGCACGGTTGCCGGGAGCCAAGGCACTGCCTCCCTGCCATTGCCATCCAACTCTGAAAGTGTGCAGCTTGTCGCAGAACTCCTGCTGCTCTGTTCTCAACCCAACCACCTTCTCCTGGATATAACGCCCTTCACAGATCCCCACTGCCCCACCTTATTCCAAGAAGCTATGCACTTCAATTTGAAAGACATTACCTAAGCAGGCCTCAAAGTACAGAGTACAGCACAGCCTGCATTGGGGTGGGAGAGAAACATGGAGAAAAAAAATCTTAGGCACTAAGAAAATTTTAAAAAAAATAAATTTGACTTACTGGGTTGTTGCACGTTTGTTAAGACACAGCAGAAAGTTGCTGGCTATAGACAACTGTGGTATCTGATCTTTCAAGTCCAGGAAAACACCCACTGGGAACACCAGCTGAATCTGCAGGCAACACACACAAGGGCAGAGAACAGCTTAGCTGGAAGGAAACAAAAGCTACAACTGGACAGTTTTTATTAGAAATGAACAAAACATACAGTAAACAAGCCAGATAATAATGCAGAACTTCCCCATCGGGACTGTAGCTGGCTGTAAATAACTCCATAACAAAAACACAAGTAGGAAACACACTTTGGAATACAAAGTCCAAGGGCCTCGAACAACTTCAGCTAAGTAGGTTGTAAGCAGGTGGCTGATCCAAATGACCTCCAGAAATCCCTTGTCCAACCTAAGTTACTCTATAATAACCCAGAAAACAGGTTACTATATTAGAAAAAGATTACAAAGGTCCAGTCCTGTTTTCATCCATACACTAAAGACTAAACACTAAGTTATGACAAAACTCATGCAAAAGTTACCGGTCCTGATATAAACAAAACAAACTCATTTGCTTTAATCATTTCTTCACTAAGGACAATCCTCCAGAAAACTGCCTTAGTTGCTGGGCTGTCTCCATTGCTGCCAGCTTGCTTCAGGTCAGAGAAGCACTAATTCGTCCCACGTACAGAGACTGGCAGCAACAGTAGGAACTGTATGGCTACTAAATACTCCTTCTGCCCCAAGTCCTGTTGTACACCTAGTGGAATGCAGATGCTGGATCAGCATCTTGATATCAAAAAGAAGGTGGGTTTTATTAGTAGCCCTGAGATTTGCCCCCCCCCCCCATGACATACTATAAACATATCTATTAGATAACACAGGAATTTCAGACCATTTTAAGACAAGTTTGATTTTCCTGCTCTTTTTGTGAGATGCTCTAGAAACTCCAATCTATCACGGTTCCAAACTTTCTAATAAGTTTTAGCCTTAAATCATAACCAGCTTCTCTTGTGCCTACATCATTCTTTAAACAGTTCTATATCCTAATGTTCATCTCATACTTCCACTACCGTAACTTCTCAACTAGAGTTGTCAACCACTGCCTCCTGTCTGGTGAACCTCTGCTGTCCTTGCAACGTCCATGTTGCCTCCTCACCACTCGTGTCTGTATCTGTCCCTGTCAACATCGCTGCCCTCCAGGATCACCCATCCTTTCCTCTCCACACTGTACCTAGGCATAACCAACTACCGCCACGCACCAGCTGAGCGAGTGCGGAGCTCAGCCACGCAGGCAGTCACCCTCAGTGCCCCTGGAGCCGCGCAGGCCAATTCCTCAGCTGAGTCAATAGCCAGAACTCCCTTTCCTCATCATATATACCACCCACACACCTGTCTACATACCAAAAAGGAAAAAAGGAATTTGAAATTGTTGTTGGTTCCTACTCTGGTATACTATTTATTCAGCCTTTCACTTACCATCCAAAAATCACTCCCTTAAACCTTCAACTACAAGGATAAGGCTCTGTGGACACACACCTCCAGATTGCAAAACTCCAAGTAAGTGTTATTTCTAAGCAACAAGTTCTTTTGTAATCACGACTGTTCTTCTCCAACCAACCCAATTCCAGTACATGTTTCCATGTCGTTCTTCAAAGTTTTAAAATAAGCTTCAGGTATCATCTCTTGATTTTACACTTTTTCTGACCATGTCTCTCAAGTCAAAAACCATTTAAACACCTGTAAGATGCCTACAGAGACCTTTGCAGGTAGAAGAGACAACACACAGAGAAAAAAGAATTTTAGGCTTAAATATCTGATTAGGGCTGGAGTCACTCCATCCACACAAAGTATAGCTAAGACCCAGTGCACAAGCTTCGCAACCTGAGCCTCTTTGCTTCCCTGTAGTGCAGACAAGTCTCTGGAGTACGGCTGATTGCCTTCCTCACACGACACAGCTTTCATCAGGATTTCAGTGAAGCCTATAAATACTTCTGTAAAGAACTTGTCACAAGTCTTTTCACTCTTCCAGGTTACACAGAACTAACATGCTGCACTGGAAGCAGGGCAATGTATCAGTAAACACCACTAACATCTATGCGTTTCAGTAGTTCCACTGTCTTCTCAGCAGACTAAGCAGAAATGCAGAAAGGTTTATTAGAAAGGAAATTGTGTACTCAGTCCAGTGTGGGTTTACAGTAGCCACGTAGCTAGGACAAACACAAGAGCTAGCACAGGACAGACGTGGCTACAGACGCAGTGTCTACACAGGAACAGTAATTGTGGTAACTTATCACTTCCTTGAGGACAGGCATTGCTCTTTCACACCATTTTCACACTACAGCTTTGGCAGACTGAGGGAACAAGACAACAGTCAAAAATTACTAAACTCAGTAAGTTTTTGTGACAATATCTGTAGTTATCAAATATTCCACAGGTATATATTTAAAAACCACCGACCTTCTGTTTTCTTTAGAAAAAGAGCAGTTTCCCCTTGTGACTAAACTGCAGAGCTGCATGCTGATAAACTGCCCCCAGTCACAGCGTGCTGGTTTTGGCTGGGGGTGCACACAGCCAGGACATCTGACCCCAACTGAGCAAAGGGATATTCCAGACCATATGACATCATGTTCAGCAATAAAAAAAAAAGGGAAGGGCTGGGGGGCCGCTGCTCAGGGACTGGCTGGGCATTGGTCGGTTGGTGGTGAGCAATTGTTTGCATTTGCATCACATGTCTTTCTCGAGCTTTATTTCTCTGTTACTTTCCTTTTCATGACCATTTTTGTTATTTCAATTATTAAACTGATCTTATCTTAACCCATGAGTTTTCTCACTTCTACCCTTCCAATTCTCTTCCCTTCACCTCTCGGGGTGGGGGGAGTGGGGAGGTTAGCGAGTGGCTGTGTGGAGTTTAGTTGCTAGCTGGGGTTAAACCACACACCGTGTGCCTGACGACCATCCTCACCTCTGCTTCCCAAGAATGAGTTCTATCTAAGAAGTCAACACCCTTTCATGGACTTCAAAATGGTCATGATCATAACTTCCAGCACAGACACTTCTAGTCTTGATATTTAACATTCAATACTTATTTTTAAATGATGTTGCATTTTTCATTTCTTACCACTGACTAGTTTTGGACAGCTGGTTCAATTTAAAAATGACTATTATGCTTTTTCGCTTTCCCTTCCTGACAACAGATGCAAACAGGTCTCGGGTCTTTGCAGCACTTGGCAGCATCCCTGTCATGGCAAACACCTCTCCTGTGCCTGCCTTTTTTTCAAAGTTAAAGATTCAAATCTGAAGCACAGATAACATTTACCAAGTACTACAGTGAATGGTATCAGTCCCACTAACTTATCTACCAAAGCAGAAATTCTTAATAAAGAACAGGATAGCATTAGGACTACAAAACAATCTCTTCAAATACTGAGTATTGTGGAGGTAACCACAACTTCAGCTTTTCAACTTCACTTTGCTAATGTCCCTTCTGCTTTAAATGTCAACTTTGAAGAGATATTTGAACTATTACTTCATACAGCCAGTGCAAACATGTGTCCCTCAATCCTGGGCACTACTTGAAGATTAGCTTGGGGACAAGAGAAAAAGAAGGTAATAACCCACCTCTCTACTTGGTATTAAAAAAACACCCCAAAACATGAGAACACACCACAGAAAAGAATTCCTTACAAATACAGCTTTCCTAACCCAGCTTAGCCAGGCAAATATGTTGTTGCCCTTCCCTTATTCTTCATCTCCTGCTAAAATTTGACATAGTTTAATCCCTTTAAATTAAACAATTCCTACTCAGTCCTCTTCACTAGAAATCCCAAGTTGCTCTCCAACACCACAGGTAACTACGGGGGCTCCCTGCACAGCAGAGTTTAAGACAGCTGCCGATCAGCACCACCCGGAATGGAACACGGGTTGAAGGCTAATCTTTTTTTTAAACAATCAGGCAGGATATACAGGTTTATCCGAGCACTCGGGATTTCTGCAGTGCGCAGCAGCGAGCTGTAACGCAGCACTTGCTTGGGCCGATTTGATCTATTAGTATTATTTCAGTAACACAACCAACGCCCGTCAGGTCACACCGAATTTTATACTGGCAAGACAGAAATGGGACTAGACAGCGTGTGGTGCCCAGCCGGAGAGGCTGCAGGCGTTCAGGGCGTTACTTTTACCAAGCGATCGACAGTCTCAGAACACTCCTGGCAGGGGCTCCCCTCGGGTCCCGGTGAGGCCGGCAAGCCCCCTCCCAGGGCAGGGCCGTTTGGGATCGGTCCGCCGCTGCGCCGCGCTCCCGCCCGCTCCCGAGGAGCGGGACACGCCGGCGGCAACAGTTGGGCTTCTCCCTCTCCCTCGGCCGCCGCCCACGGCCTCTCCCGGGCCCTCTCCCGACCCCC